TACCACGGAGCGAATCCAGTGGGTAATAGGTTCTTTTGACAAATATAAATGCCAGGGCCCAGAGGGCATAATACCGGCAATCAACCAATAAAAGCATCTGTAGATGGCTAAAAGCCATTTACGAAACTTGTATAAGATTGACGCACATCTCGCTCTTGTGGAGGGAAGCGAAAGTCATCCAAACAACGGATTACGGACCGATGTCTCACCTCCTTCGCCCTAAAGACAATAGAGAGACTCTTGGACGTCCATATCCTGAAGAGACATCGACTATCGGATGCACAGCACGCGTATCGAAAAGGCAAGTCAACGGAAACAGCACTACACAAAGTTGTATATAATGTCCAGAGGACATTACAACAGAAGCAATACACGATACCTGCCTTCCTAGACATCGAAGGCGCGTTCAATAACGTGAACCCCGACTCTATCCTGGGCTCCCTCAACTTGCTAGGTATTGAGAGAGGCATCCGAGAGTGGATCGGGGTTATGTTAATGAGCAGGACGATCACAGCCGAACTGAGTGGCACTCACCTCACGCGGACTGTGAAGAGAGGCTCACCTCAGGGCGGGGTCCTTTCGCCCTATCTCTATACGGATGGAGTCAAAGAAGTTGCATATGCAGACGATGCAATACTGCTAGTATCAGGACCCTATCCTGACGTTATCAGCGAAATAATGAATGTCTACCGAATGTCTATCGAAAGAACTTTCTTCCAAAATGACAGGTGAAAGGAACAAGGGCTTTGAAGTATTCGGAAACCATTAAACCACTTCTAGCTAAATCACCTATTGCCGAGTCTACACCGAAACCTAATAAAGCAATGACGACTGGGGCTGGATTCATGAGAATTGGTAGAGCTAATACAGCTGTCACAGGATCACAATCTGCAGGAAATATCATATATCTCAATTTTGATAAAATTCTATTGAAAAATGAAAAAGTGATAATTATACCCTTGCAGGGTATTATAATTTCAGTCAGAAGTTTGCAACGCAGTGAAGGAGGCACCTCCGACCCTTAACATTAGATAAATTATTCTTAAAGAGGACCTTTTGCGTCCTGCCAGTCAGATAACTTGAGATCCAATTAAATCTCAAGATCACTTGGAAAACCCACTAAATCGATTTTCCTGTTTTGGGTCCTGTGAGAACTTTGCCCTAAAACGAGTTAAATAGTTTTTATATTTTTATAACACGCAGTGCTTGTTCAGCACGGTAAAAGTTGGCCAGGCTGATAAATAAGATAAAAGTGCAGATTGAGAATCGGTGAATTTAAATTAAGCATAGATAGATTTTTTATTTTTAAGTCGGCTCAACTCTTTAGTAAACCACGGAGGTTTATTCGTGATTGGCGGATAGTATAACGGAACACATTCAGTAAAAAATGAATTCATGGCACTGTAAAAAATATCCACGGCAACTGCCATATCAGTGCACATGTATAGATCGGACTAATTGAATTCTTATATAAAATTGTTCAGCCTTACAAATTCCAACTTGCGAAAGCAGAGGACTTTTTTGACTAGACAGTCAGATATATTCTGTAAGTCAGACCCAATATCAAGAGTCACAACGAAAGTAGGATGATACAGATCTTCGGGCTGCGTCAGATGCGCCACCCTTGCTAAACTGACTCTCGCAGGATCAGAGACGAAGCAAAGATCGAGCAAACGCTGTAAGGACTTTCGTATATGTTGACTTGAGACACCGAAATGTCAAACAAGCCAGTGATAAAGTCATGTTGTGTAGAACTTAGGAGAGTATTGGTGGAATAGCACCAGGGATATTAAAATCACCTAGGACTACCAAATGGTCTCTTTCCAAAAGTCTACTGGAAACCATATGAATAGCAGAATGGTATTTCCAATAAATAGGAAGTTCAGAAAATTGAGGTAAGTAGGAATAGGTAATAAAAATGGAGTTACCTTTGATAGATAACTTCACACAAAGGAATTTAACATCGTTGCATTCCACGAAGCTTAATTCTTAATTCTGATGTAAGTGAGGAGTCCACCGCTATAAGAACTCCACCCCCCCCGTACCTGATAGGGCTGAAAAAACTTCGGAGTTTAGAATCTCCGGCTCTAAGCAGGTTTCTGTGAGCACAATAACCTGAGAAGGAAACGAAAGGCTTACTACGTAAGCCTCTTGCATTCTGATAAGAAATAATAATATAATATATTTTTAAAAGATAAAATATCCCATGCGTAAGAAAATTTTAGCTTTTCTACCTTAATTTCTACCTTTATTTTATTGCCTTTGGTTTGATCAGGGGAGAGCCGTGAAACAAAAAATGTCTCGCCGGTGGAACCGCTATAAGGGGTTTTGGCAAGGCCGATTGGTTACCTGCCGTGGCATTGTCGGCCGGTATTCCGGGCCAAACACCCTGGGCAGGTATATCAATATTCACGGGACTTTGATGGGTCAATATTTGCGACCCCCAGGGACGAAACAGAAATCACCGGTGGTGAGGGCGCTCCCGCGGCATATCTTTTTTAGCGCTCGATCTTGAAGTTAATGCTGGGGTCGAGGGCTGTGCCGAGGGAGGCTGCTGCTGAGAGTCCTTTGGGTGTAGATAGGGTCCGTCTACATGCTTCCCACCAATAGCAGTTTTTTTTGCGCCTCGGAGACTCATTTAATAGCGTAAGGCCATTAAATTGGGTATCCAGCGCAACGAACTCGAGTTTCCGACTCGATAAAATGCCCTCAAAACCGTTTTTGGTTTACTACATGAAAGACATCATCTCCCTTTCCACATCGCGACAGGCCTCGCAGAAGTAACGCAGGCCGATGCTTTTTTCACATCGTCCACCGTCCGAGCTGCATTATTACATTATTAAGACTTACCAGTGTACTTGTACTTGAGAAAAAAAAACAGAGCTATAAAGATATAAAGTACAGCGGCACAGTGAAAGCGAGCGAGCGGAAGAGCGTGGGAGATAGATAACTAAAACGTTTAGCTGTTTGCTCCGACGGCGCAGACAAACGCAAAACGAAGGCGGCACAAAAAGGAATGCAAAATTAGAAAAAGCTAGCACTAGAAGCACAACTAGTGCTGGGAAATAAAACCAATTAAATACACAAATCAGAATAGCTGCATGCACACGCGAAGTGAACGGGAAGTTGTTGTACTCAAAATAGATGATTTACTTAACGAGAGCGCAAGAAAAAAGCACGTCCGTTTACTTGAAAAGATAATTATTTTAATACCAAGAATTCGTTTTTAATCCCCAGAATTCTTATACCATTCTTGTAGTTTTGTAATTTTAATCCCAAATACGATTAAAGATAGATTTCTTGTGCTGAAATTTTCTAAAATTTATATTAGCTTTTTTTCTGTGTAGGCCTATGTGTTTCTTCTTTTTTTCCATCAACGTTTCATCAATCTTTTATCAATCGAGAAAAAAGGAGAGCATGAGAGAGTGGGACTTGGCACGGTTGCCGACTGAGAGCGTCGTCTCGGTACAAGTCGCAGTCGGCACGTTGATGAATTATTGATGACAGCGGCCTATTAATGACACGTGGTACTGCAGGGTACTAAACTTAATTTAATCATAAACATAAACATAATTTAATCCCATAATTGATATATGGGAATACAATTTATAATATCAATTATTAATTTAAAAATAACACACATATTAGTTATTACTAAACTTTTATATTACCAGTTAAACTTGTAATTATACTACAAAAAAGCAATAAATAAAACTAACTTCGACACCCTTGCAGATGGCAACTCGATCATTAATATAATATAATAAAACATAAATAATATACAGGGGTAGTCAAAAGTATTTACACAAATTCACAATTATTTTCACCGACAAACTTATTATTGTTATTATTCTTGTTTTTGTTGACCGATTTCCATGAAATTTTTTTTATTGCATAAATTGATCTATTCAGAAACTAGCAGAAAACGAAAACAGAAGATAACGGTTCTTAGGACAATATTAAAAGTAAAAGAAAATATGTCTATTCATAGAATTAAACTTAAGACGAAAACAAATTATGTGTAAATATTACACTGTAGATGCATCTATTCTTTTACTTATAGCTTTTTTCTTTGAACCGTTAACTTTCCTTTTTGGCCCGATTCTGCATAGATCAATCTACGCAATAAAGAAAATTTCAGGGAAAACGGTCAACAACAACAAGAATAACAACTATAAGAAACTTGGCTATGAAAATGGTCGTTGTGTAAATACTTTTGACTACCTTTGTATGTGTATGTTTAAATTCACCTGTACATACTATATTACAGCTGTGAATGTAAAACTGTAAACTGTAAAGCTTTAATTGTTACAGTTTTAAAGCCACAGTTTCAGTTATAATTTACAGTGTGGCATTTTAACGCTTGTTATTGATGGCAACTATGTATATGATATAGTCTCCCAATTTTCATAAAACTAAAGCCGAAATTCTACAATAATATTAAATGACTATATCTCAAATTATAAGAAAATATTTTTAAAACTGAAAACATTCAAGTCAACATATTAAATTTAAAACGTAAACGCTGATGCTGATCAAGAATATATAAAATTTATATGGTCGGAAATGACTCCTGAATTATAAAACCCAGCAAGGGTATACAAATCTGTTCCACTTTCCCTCCATTGCTCCTTGTGAAAAATCTAAAGTATCCACATCGAAGCTTATATTCATGGTCCATGGTGATATTAATTTTTAATTAAAATAATTATTAAAATGCTTACCTCATTGAATCTTGGACTTGAAATAAAATGTTGTCCTTAACTGGATTGCGATAATAACTTCACTCCATGCTTGAGTAAGACGCTTATGTTCGTTTTGCAATACTTCCAGATCTATATTGGCGTCAGATATACTCATATTTAAAATATTGACAACATCTTTCATAATAGTTTCTTCTTCGTAAATTGAGTTCAGTTCGGATTCTCGTTTTTTAACTTCCATATCTAGCCGGTAAAACAGTATATCCGATTTTCGTTTTTCCCGAGATAGTTGTTTCTGCAACTGCGCATCTCTGCTAACGATACGTTTAGCATTCTTTATTTCATCTTCTACGTCATAAGCCATTTTTTAATATTACTACTCAAACTTTGCAAATCTTCGAGTTCTACCATTAGTTCATTATATAAAGTTTTTTTAGTTTTTGTAAGTTTAAGTCTTTTTTCATATTCCCTTTTAAAGAGCTAACACAAATTCTTCGCCTTGGCGATTTTGCAAGTGCTTTTCAATTACTACTGATATTTCTCTTATTTGTTCCTCTTGAATTCCCATTTGCTGCTGCATGTCATATAATGCCAATCCTTCCTCTTCTCGTCTTTGCTCTTTCAGTTTTACTTGGTATTTAATTTCTGCGATTTCATATTCAAGCTCATCTTTAGTACGCAAAAGGAGATCCCTCAGTGAATTTTGAAATTTGTCCAGGAGCGGATGGTTCGGAGAAAGAAGTGCCAATTGATCTGGTTCTGGAGCAAACCCAGGATCCACCTCCGAAAAATTTGCAAAATCGCAAGAACCGATATCTTCAGCCTCAGACATGGTGTTTCGTCTTGAATAAGTTTATATTTAGAAATACTAGCTTAAATACAATGAATGTGATTTTAATATGTCAAATATGTTTGATAGTAATGATAATAATGCCTGTGATTGCTAGTTTTTAGAAGTTTTTAGTAACTTTGACTTCCATATTGGAATTGACTTAGTATAAATTATACACTCTGATTTCCTTGGTTACAAGACAATTATTTTAAATATTAAGCCCCAACTTTATACATGCTGAACTAACAAAGTCAAAGAAGTATTATAGACAAATTTTCAAATCCATTCAAGTTTATTTAATGGTTAGGTTAGGTTAATGTGGTGAGGTTACCCTGGTATTAAATTAATTAAATTAATTAATTAAAGCTCAACTCTGTTTTGCTCCACACCCTCGTTGGTCCGTAGTCAACGCCTCCTCTTCAGTGCCATCACGTGTCACTCAGGTAGGCTCAGATTGCAATTACTGACTGTCTCCCACTTCCCCTAGTGACCCAAACTGGTGAGCTTCAAAGTGACGCGCCCTGATTTGGCTAAGAGCCGAGCAGTGACACAGTGAATGCTCCAGTATCTCCTGCTCTCTCGATTCCTTGCAACTTCTGTGTGTATTGTAGGGTATGCCCATCTTGTAGGCCTGCGTGCCTATTGGCCAGTAATTGCTGTCGTTATCCTGCGGATGTCTTTTTCAATTTTTGAGATCAACTCACCACTCACGGCATATAATACTATCGAAAAGAGACACCCTCTCGGCAGTTTCCCTTATTTCCGCATAGCGTGTGCTTAACGTTGGCGTGTCACCCGAGGATAATGTTGGCCGAGCCGCTCGTTAAGCAAAAATTTCATTTGCCACCAACTAGTGGCAACATGCTCGCAAACATCATTTGCTTGCAAATCTTTGAGAAGCAAACATGGCAACGGACAACGACAGCGCCACTATAATTTCACTTTTGGCAATTAATGTTTGCGCCTTTGTCTGGAATATAAAGTTTTTAATTAAAATAAATAAATTGTTTTTACAATTTAGAGCTGCGCTATCAAAAGAACTATGCCCGATTCTCTGGGTTTGCTTTTGCCTTGCATCCACGTTGATAATTCCCAACGGGTTATTGTTAAAAAGGGGTTAGACATCAAGAGAATTAGTGAAAGTTAGCAAGTGGTCTGATGAGTTGAGTAGCGCCATAGAAACGATCGTTACTAAAGCTGCTACTTGTCTTTTGACAATTTGTTTTTGTTGATTTTAGCAAAAACGTACTTTTGTTTTTATTTAAATCAAAACCGACTTGAACTCGATTCTAGAGAGCTCTCAAATATTCATTTATAATAAAACAAATATATATACAATATAATTTATTAAGTAAAACAGATAAAAAGTCGTGTATGTCTGTGGCCATAGTCACAGACAAACAGATTAAAATTCTTTTTGATTTTAAATATTCTGAATCGTCACCACCTTTAAACATTCAACTTTTGTTGACTTAAAAAAAAATTATAAATGAATAAGCAATAAATATAAAAATAATATTTTGTAATTGCCGGGAGAAACCAAAAATCAAGGAAAACAAAAATAATCAAACATGACCGTTCGATCAAACAGAGCGGAGCAGAGCGTAAAGCTGATAAACATAGCGGAGCAGAGCGTAAAGCTCATAAGCTGAACTTTCAATGTGTGCGCTTTCAAACAATAGATACTTTTTTTCTGCAAGTGGATAGACGTGCTTATCAGCTCAGCCCTCAGCTCGACTTTCAGCTGCTGGTGTGAGGCTAGCTAGCACGGAAGGTATACAATGGGTGAAAGCAATACGAATATATGGAAACATTAACTGGAGCTATTATACGTGGTTTGAGCGAGATCAACATAATTATTCATATTTTTAAATTATATAAATTTTAATGTAATGAAAGAAACACGTTTTAAAAATAATGTACTGTATTGTATTTGTCAATTCAATGAATTTTCTTTTAAACATTTTTGTTTCAGTTAAAGATCGACCAACAAAATTAAAATGAATGAATTGAAAGAAATGAAACTATAGTTATTAAAATGTATACAAACTCTCGAAAAGATAATCTTATGTTCATATTAAAAGGTTTCTACTCTCTAGATATTTTCCGATTTTTATTTAGAGGAATTCTACGTCGTTTGGAAGCAAAACGTAAAATAATTGCGGGGATATTTTTTTGTCTTTGGACTTTGTGTTAAGAAAATATCCCGAAAGGGAAATACCTCAGCACCGAATCCTACGTTTAACGGAGCAGCGTTCGATTCAGGTACTTGAATCCCGCGCTTCCCACTTTGCTGAACTGGCGACCATACATTAAGCCATTCCTGCTCGACATAGTTTTCTATCCTTAATCGCTCACCGCATGAAGCAAAGTCCGACTAGGCTGGCTCGAGTACCCTCCCTCTTCTTCATTCTTCCCTTGTTGGATATGTCGTGGTGTAAGTGTTGCCGAATCGCAGTTCGGTTGTCATACAATAAGTGTCTTCTGTCATCCGATATTTCATCTCGTCAAGGATCTTACAGTGACCGGTGTGGTAGTTCTTCCAGCTTTGGCTTGCACTCAGTCGCACCGCACTTTGGGGTGCTGTATTCAGGAATAAAAAGCTATGCTAGCTTTTTTGACTACTTCGTTGATGTTTTGTTTCCATGACAGCTTCGCATATATGTAGAATTACTCCCACATACTGTGCTTGTAGCGATAGTCCTAGTTCTATACCTTCTATCTGAGGTTTATTGAAATTGGGGATCTTTGTTGTCATCAGTCCGCTGATGACGTCGGAGAAAGGTCCTGAAGTCAGTAAGACTATGTCTTCTGCATATGCTACCCCTTTTACACCTTCACTGTTAAACGCTTTTAATATGTCATCCATGTTTATCAGCCAAAGCAGCGAAGACAGAACTCCCCTGGGGTGTGCCTCTCTTCACAAATCTTGTGTAATGACCGCCACTCCATCTGCTCGTAAGCATTACGCCGATCCAGGTTCTGGTGCCTTCTTCAACTCCTAACTTGTTGAGGGAGCTCAGCTCAGTCTGCGTTTACGTTATTGAACGCCCCTCTATGCCAAAGAAGGTGGCCAAAGTGTAATTCTTGAAGAGCAATGCCTTTTCTATGTATCGTACCACTTCATGAAGTGCTGTCTCTGTGGATCTGCCTTTCCTGGAGGCATGCTGTGCGTCGGAAAGGATTTTCTCAGTTTTACTTCTGATGGGAATATCCAGTATCCGTTCCAATGTTTTCATGAGGAATGTGGTCAGGCTAATCGGCGTGGAAGTGTCCTCTTTTTCCTGGTTTAGGCATGAAAACTACTCTTCTTCCACGGAAGTGGTATGTGTGCTATTTTTACACATGCTTGGAAGATGCCTCGTAGCCACCTACCCATGCATGTTTATGTGTTTTGTAGCGTTGTTGGTATAATTCCGTCCGGACCCGGACTTTTGTACTTGTAATTCATTCTAGCGATTCGCAGTAACTGCTCAAAGATTGTTTCTGGCTGCTTAAATCGGTCTTTTGTATTCTTTAGGTATCTCCTTGTACGGTCGCCAATCCTTGCTTTCGTAGCTTTCGGCCATCCTAACCTCTTTCCTGAGTACCCTTTATTCTTTGTTCCACCACTATGGGTATGTCTTCGTTGATTACATGAGTCTGCATGACTCCTTGTACGCGTTGTTGTGAATGTCACTGAAGTCCTCGACATCCTTGTCGATTCCTTCTGGGGTAGACCGAACCTTGGTCCTTCTGTTTCTCACCTTAGATTGAACATTTTTCCACATTTGTCCCAGTCAGTGTTGCGGGAATTGCGCTTTGGCGCTGTCCCATGTGTCGGCATCGAGATTTCGAAGAATATGTACCTACGGTCTGAAAATGAGTGCTACGTCGAGACCCTCCATTTTCCTACCTTGTAATTGCTATGCTCTATTTGGAGAGTTGTATCTAGGACCTCTTCCCAGCCTTGATATTCTTCTGTACTTGGAAAAATGAAGGTGGCCGTGTTGCCTTTGTTACAAAAAGTGACGTCACGATACATTCTATAGAAAAGTTTGGTTTGTTTCCTTACAAGGGGAAACGTGTGCCTAGCGTTGGCGTCACACTCGAGGATAAGCGGCGTCTTGGTGTCTTCAGCCCACTGCATCACCCTAATGAAAGCTTCAGGTGGTGCCGGTTCGTCGTGGTCCATGTAGCCGGAGGCTATGAGTATAGCTGTCCCTTCCGTTAATCTTGTTATCTGAAAATTGTTAGACAATACGTTAAACTAATCCCGGGGAAACATTGATTCCAAATTGATGACCTTGTAAAGTGTTGGTGTTGCATTCAATTGTTACACTATATAGTGAAGATTGAGATTGATCGTTGCATCTCACTTTGCATCGGAGACCGACGAGGAAGAGTCGCAATCCGAGGGGAGGGCAAGTAGCACTCCCCAATCTAAACACACAGGTGGGGCTCAGCTGGGCACCACCTCAGAAATGGCGAAAATGTCTCACCAGCAGAGACGAGCGAGGGTCAACAGAGCCCACTTCGTTTTCGGCAAGATAGCCAAGAACGAGGATGAGGGCAAAACCGACCCTCGGGATGCCGAGGACAAGGCCAAATTCCTTGCGGAGATCGCGGAATTTGAGCAATACAAAGCGGCAAACCCGGCGGCGTTCCAGCCCTCGAAGGCGAAGCGAAAGCGCACCTAAGAGAGCGAAGGACCCACAGGGTAAGCCGCGTGCGACTAACTTTGTCAGCAAGACAAAGAAATTTAGCGAGGTGGCCAGAGACAGTCTGGCTATGGCACTGGTGGACGAGCTCCATGACGACGGTCGCCTGCTGTCGGAGAAGTGGGATGATATCGAGGCCAAGTTGGCCGACATGGTGACCGACAGTTTGGTTAGCATGCCGACCGGCCCCATCCCCTCCTTCGACTCCTCAGACGTGGTCAGAGGGCACCGGGTCATCAGGTGCGACGACGGGTTCTCCCGAAGCTTCCTGACGGAGTGTGTGGCTAAGATTAGCGACACATGGGCTGGCCTTAAGATTAGGCTAGTCCACTCCAGGGAGATCCCAAGGAGACCCAGAGCTCGCATCTGGTTACCAAAGGGCCAAACTGACCA